AAACTATCATTATTTGCAGATGATATGATTTTATATAAGGAAAATCCCAAAAGTTCCACAAGGGGAGTACTGGAAGCAATAAAGGAGTTTGGCAGAGTGGCAGGATACAAGATCAACAAGCAGAAGTTCATCAGATAAGACCACAGAAGAAGAGATCAAAAAGGCGGTACCCTTCACAATAGCCAAGAACAAATTGAAATATCTAGGGATCTACCTGACTAAAAGAACAAAAAGATCTATAGGAGGAAAACTACAGAGCACTATTAAAAGAAACCAGAAGTGTCCTTAACAAACGGAAGAATATCCCATGCTCGTGGATTGGAAGACTCAGTATAGTCAAGATGTCAGTTCTGCCTAAGGCATTTTATAAGTTTAATGCAATCCCAATACAATTTCCCTAATCTTTCTTCAAAGAAATGGAAAAACGGATGGCCATCTTCATATGGAGAGGGAAGAAGCCCAGAATTAGCAGAGAACTCCTCGAGAAGAAGGACATAGTGAGAGGGCTTGCTTTACCTGACTTTAACACACATTACACATCTACAGTTGTCAGAATCACATGGTATTGGCACAATGACAGATACTCAGACTGATGGAAAAGAACTGAAAACCCAGAAATAAAATCATCAGTATACAGACAATTGATCTTTGATAAGGGCTCAAAAATATATAATGGGAAGCAGATGCCCTCTTTAACAAGTGGTGCTGGAAAAAATGGATATCTACCTGCAAAAAAATGAAGCAAGACCCTTATCTCAGTGCATGCACAAGAATAAACTCAAGGTGGATCACAGACTTTGAAGTTAAACCCCAGAGTACTAGGGCCATTAATGAGGGAATTGGGACCAACTCGAGAACTTTGGCACAGGGAATACATAGACCATCAGAAATAGGGAAGGACACAAACACAGGGGAGGCAAAAATTGACAAATGGGATATACTGAAAATAAAACACCTGTGTACATCGAAAGAATTCACCAAGGGAGTAATAAGAGATGCCACAGACTTGAAAAACATCTTTAGCAATGACACATCAGACAAAGGCCTTATTACTAAAATCTACAATACTCTGCTAGTTTCCAAAAGGAAAAAAAACTAATTGCCCACTGAGGAGGTGGGCAAAGGACCTGAGCAGAAGTTTCACAGGGGCAGAAATCTGAATGGCCAATAAACATATGAGGAAATGTTCCTGATCTTTAGCCATAAGAGAAATGCAAATGAAAACAACAATGAGGTACCACCTAACACCCTCAAAGATAGCCCAATTCAAAAAATCAGAAAGCAACAAGTGTTGGAGGGGCTGTGGGGAGACAGGAACTCTCATCCATGGCTGGTGGACTTGTAAGTGTATACAGTCACTATGGAAATCGATCTGGCGATATCTAAAACAGATGGAAATCGAGCTACCAGACGACCCAGTAATCCCCCTACTGGGCATATACCCAGACGAGGCAAGAAACAAACCACAGCAAGACATCTGTGCTCCAATGTTGATTGTTGCACAGTTCACACTTGCAAGGAGTTAGAAACAAGCCAAATTTCCATCAACTGATGAGTGGATTAAAAAACTGTGGTATATACATCCAATGGAGTACTACGCATCACTAAAAAGCAGGGATGAACATATGAAGCACATTGCCACATGGGAAGAATTGGAGGAAATCATGCTAAGTGAAGTAAGCAAAGCACAAAAGGACAAGTACAATATGAGTCCGCTGAGGTAAGCATTAAAAAAATTTAAAAGGGGCATAGGGAAAAAGCTACTGTATACAGATATTCCTGGGGTGAGGACCAGATAGTATGGCAGGAGCCAGACCAAATCCAGGGATAAATATGGTATCAAACTAAAAAAGGGGGGGGGGGGTGAGGAAAACAATTTAAAAAATGGATAGCGGGGCTACAGAGAACTAACCCATGCAAGGGGAGGGTATTTTTTGTATCTCCACAGGGAAAGAGGGACCAGACTTCAACCCAGTGCTCCAAGATGCAAATGCAACATGCCAGCATGAAGTAGGGAACCAGTGGAGAGCTCTGAAGGGCCGGCCCTAATCCCAACTAGGTGGACACTTGCCCCTGCCCCCAGAAGACTTTAGTTCAGAGGATAGCACTGAATCTTCAGCTTCGGGAGAGGGACAAGTCTGATCAGAGCACACGGGAGCAAATGAAGGGGGAGGAAGAGAGAGTGGAGCACAGCCTGGCCCATCAACCATTGAGGACAATATTCCCACTCAGAGCAGCCAATCCACAGCAAGGACCATATGGCCAGCCCCACTATGAGACACAACATCCCTCACTGACCCATAGCCCTAAGGGGGACAACACTGGAGACACAGTGTGGGAAACCTATCTGATCTGATCCAACCACACAGAGGCAAAACAATAAAGGCTTGGAACAGAACAGCAAGGGGAAGAGAGCAACAAAGTCCCCAGGGAACACCAAAAATAGACTTTGGGGCCAGAGCTTGGCGCCCCAACAGACTCGACTGGAAAATACGCCTAATGGCCAACAAACAGTCCTTGAACTAACTGCAAGCTTTTCTTTCTTGTTGTTGTGTTTTGTTTTGTTTTTTGTCCTTGGCTTGTTGTTGTTTTGTTTTATTTTATTTTGTTGCTTGGTTTTGCTCTCTCTTGTTTTTGCGCATGTTATTATCTCCACAGGTCTGTCTAAACAGAATGGGCTGGATGAACAATCTGGAGGAGAAAACAACAGGACCAACAGTTCCCGGAGGACATGGGAGAGGGGGACATGGGGGTAAAGGTAGTGGTGATAACAAACCCAAGGGAACAACAAGTGATCCAAATCGGTGGTGAGGAGGCTGTATGAGGCCTGGTAGGGTGTGACCAAGGGTAATGTAACCGAGAGGAATTACTATAACTCAAATGAAGGCTGAGCATGATAGTGGGAGAAGAGGAAATTTAAAAGGAAATAAAGGAAGAGCTAGGAAGTGAATGGCATTTATAGCGGTCTAAATACAGGAATGAACATATGTAAATATATTTATATATGAGGATATGGAAATAGATCTATGTGCATATGTTTATAGGTTCAGTATTAAGGTAGCAGATGGACATTTGGACCTCCACTCAAGTACTCCCTCAATGCAAGAATACTTGGTTCTATTAAACTGGCATTTCATGATGCTCACCTTCCCGACACATTTGCTGAAGACAAAGCGGGGGGTGCATAAGCAAATGTGGTGAAGAAAGCTGAATGGTGCCCGGCTATCAAAAGATATAGTGTCTGGGGTCTTAAAGGGTTGAAGGTAAGCAAGCGGCCATCTAGCTCAGAAGCAGCAAAGCCCACATGGAAGAAGAACACCAGCCTGTGTGATCACGAGGTGCCTAAGTAATCAGTTATCAGCCATCAAAGAAAACAAAATCACATCATTTTATGCTCACCTCCCTAATACAATCGCTGAAGACAAATGGGTGCAAAAGCAAATGTGGTGAAGAAAGCTAATGGTGCCCGGCTATCAAAAGATATAGCATCTGGGGTCTTAAAGGCTTGAAGGTAAGCAAGCGGCCATCTAGCTCAGAAGCAACAAAGTCCACATGGAAGAAGCACACCAGCCTGTGCGATCACAAGGTTTCGAAGGGATCAGGTATCAGACATCATCAGAACAAAAAATCATACTGTTCTGAATGGGGGAGTGCAGGGTGGAGACCCAACACCCATCTGTAGGCAACTATACATCCCCTTATGGAAGGGTCGCAGGGAGTAGATGAACCGGTCAGGGTGCAGTGTAGCAATGATAAAATATACAACTTTCCTCTAGTTCCTAAATGCTTCCTACCCCACCCCACCCCTATCATGATCCCAATTCTATCTTACAATTCTGGCTATACCAGAGGATGTACACTGGTACAGATAAGAACTGGAAACACAGGGAATCCAGGGCGGATGATCCCTTCAGGACCAGTGGTGAGAGTGGTGATACCAGGAGGGTGGAGGGAGGGTGGAGTGGAAAAGGGGAACCAATTACAAGGATCTACATATAACCTCCTCCCAGGGGGATGGACAACACTAAAGTGGGTGAAGGGAGACGTCGGACAGTGTAAGATATGACAAAATAATAATTTATAAATTATCAAGGTTTCATGAGGGAAGGGGGAGCGGGGAGGGAGGGGGGAAATGAAGAGCTGGTGGCAGGGGCTTAAGTGGATAGCAAATGTTTTGAGAATGATGAGGGCAATGAATGTACAAATGTGCTTGACACAATTGATGTAAGTATGGATTGTGATAAGTGTTGTATGAGCTCCTAATAAAATGACTTTTTTAAAAATTACTTTGGGTCACAATTTTTTTAAGTTTTATTTGCATATAATTTACATATTATAAAATTCAATAGCTCAATCTTATTAAGAAGTGTTGTATAATCATCACCACAATCAATTTTAGAACATCTTCTTTGTTCTTGCACTCCATTTTCCAGCAACCTTTCCTGCCATACCTCCAAGGAATCATCAAGTCAGTTACTGTCTCTTGCTTTACCTACTCTCGATTTCATACACAGAAAAACATGTATGAGGAACAAAATCTAACAAGAATAACAAAGTGAAACGATAAAAATCTCAATCAAATGAATGAATATTTAAAAAATAGAACAAATTTTAAATGGGTCAAAAGGGAGATCAAATTATAAAGTGTTAATTGTACCTTAACCGCATCTACAATAAATCCACTTTCCAATGCATTCGGCATGATAGCAAGACTAGTTACGCCCCTGGTCTATGGTCAAAGGGAATTCACTAGACACTTAATCCACATGTATTTCCCCTTCACTTTTTTTTAACTGAAACAACTTTAAAATGGTTCAAATGATATTATATTTTAACCTAACTACATCTGCCATAATTCACTTTACAATGCAAGCCCAAAATCCAATCATGTATCTATGTGTCTCTGGCTCAACTGAGAGACATCATTGTCCTTTTATGTTATAAATTATCTCCCTGGGGCATAAGGTAATTCTATTGATAATGTCATTAATTTTTTTTCCCACTGTGCAACCCACTTCAGTGCCTAAAGCCCACGGGGTAAAGTCAGGCAATGGTTTGGGGTTACAGTTTGCTTTGGCATGGGACACTGTGAGAGGCCCAAGGGATCAGACCTACCCTAAATCCAAGCCCATGCATGATAGTATCATTAATTTAACCAGTGCTATAGCATTTAAAACACCGTTGAGAAAAAGAAATTATAGGAGTATGGGCAGCTATGAACTGCAATTGTTGACTTGTACAGATTAAACTCTTTTTTTTACTTAAAAAGTCTTTTAATAATTTCTCAGTAACAGTATAACATTGTAAATGTACAGCAGATTAAACTCTTTAAGTGACTGAACACAAGTAGTAGTAGGCAGTTGGAAACTATGAGCTGCTCTGTGGGAGAAAGAAGTGGCTTTCTACTCCTGTAGAGTTCCAGTCTTGGAAACCCACAGGGGCAATTCTACCCCGTTCTATAGGGTCCCTATGAGTAGGCATCAACTCAATGGCAATAAGGTGAGGATGGGGGTTGGTGAGAAGGCAAAACTTTCAATAATATTCATTTACAGTGGCAGAGCCACACCGACCAGATTAACACGTGTCATAATAAAGCAAGACGGACATTAAAATAGTAAGTATATAGTATATATATGTTGCAGCAAGACTTTGGGGTGGGGGTGGGGCTTCAGAAAGTTCCATTCTCTTTTCATTCCAGGTTTTCCTGGGAACTTTTTGAAGCCCGCTCCATTCCACGGAGCTCCGTTGTGCTCTCCCTTTGCTCATGTAACATGTGGGTGACTGCAGACCCGCTCCTGGTGGTTCTACATTCAAAGCCCATGAACACTGTAGGCAGTTTAGAACCCAGTATGCGGCAGGACCTCAGTAGTCTTTGGGTTTACAGAACCTCAGCAGGCACACAGGGTAACCGAATGTTCACAGCCCACCCACAGTTCCCTGCAGCTACCCCACCTGCGATGAGACCCGAACCCCCTAACTTTAGTGAACACCTCGGAAAGGGATGGGGCTGAGGGAATGAAGCGGTGGGAAGAGGGACTGAAGCGGAGGGAAGAGAATATGCTCAGTTGGAAATAACTCCCTGGCTAGTAAGTAGCAAACGGAGCAGTTAAAACAGGAAGTTCAGAGGTCTCCTTTGACCCCTAGAGGTCTGCGCCATGTAACCTTCGGGGAGAGACTTCCGGGCTGGCCTCCATTTTCCTCTCGCACCCTGACAAGGTAGTTTGGGGGCTTCCTTTAGAGCTCCACCCTAAACCCTAGACACCAGAACCCACAAATTCTCCTCAGGAAATTCCCGTGAGAGCAGTGGTGACAGTCAGACCATGGCCAGCACAAAAGGTAGGCAAGGTTTTCTTTTCCGACCCCACCCAGGGACCAGCGGCGATTTCCATGGGACGCACGAGGCCTCGCGGACTGTTCTGTTCGCCCGAGGAGAGGGCCTGAGGGTCCCTGAGGTTTGCGTTGATTTTTACGTGGAAAAACCTCCCTTCCCGTGGTTCAGTTGAGGGGAAGGCGAGTCCAGTGATTCCGAGTCTGGGAGGGGTGCTGGTGACTTGGGGCGAGGGCGTGGAAAATGAACTGTCTTGTGGTTCCTATTTGAGGTTGGGTGGGGCCGGGGAGCGGGGCAGGGGCTGGTAATCCACCTAAACCGTTAAATGCTGACCCGAGCCTTTTCGGGCTAATTTGCGTTCTCCGTATAAAAAGTTCTAGAGGCCTGTTTTGTGACTCGGACTCTGTTCTGGAACTTTCCATGCGTAGCCGTTAGCGCAACCGGTATCGATGTTGTTTTTTCACGTTGCCTTCTGATTTGGTTTACCTGTTTTGTCTGTCACGCCGTTAAAATACTCCACCGTGACTGTGAAGATACCCACTTCTCCAATTTTGCTGTGCGTATTTGGGGCTTTGTTAAGCGTGTGCACTAATTTAGAGTTGTTTGATTATTATAGTCTTATGGAATTGAATCTTGTGTCGTTATGGAATCTACCTCTTTTTTCTAGTCTAGCAATATTCATGTCTTAAAGTATACATTTAAAATGTTTATTTTGCTATACCAGCTTTCAGTTAACAGTTCAAATAGTATGTCTTTTACCATTTGATAAATGTCTAAAGTTTACGTATGTCTCCATTTAAGGTGGTGAAAAAATTAAATCTAGTCTGACAATCACTGACTTTAATTTGGAATATTTAATCTCTATATTTTGTGTGTTTAGTGGTGTAGTTGGGTTTAAATATGGTAATATTACTATTTGGTTTTTCTCCTTTTTGGTCTATCCTAATGTCCTCTTCCTCTCTTTTCTTTGGAAGTAATTAATTTTTTATAATAATTATAAAATGTCTACCTCACTCATGATTTCTGGCTCATTAATTTTTTATAATAATTATAAAATGTCTACCTCACTCATAATTTCTGGCTTATAAGATAGATTTTCTCTTGTCATTCTTCCATTGTTTACTCTTGAAATTATGATAGTTACTGTTAACTGTAAATGACTTCTTTTACATTCCTCTCACAAAACAGAGATGTTGGACAATATTTTCTTTTTCTTTTTTTTTAAAATCGTTTTATTAGGGGCTCATACAACTCTTATCAAAATCCATACATACTTCAATTGTGTAAAGCACATTTGTACATTCATTGCCCTCATCATTCTCAAAACATTTCCTCTCCACTTAAGCCCCCGGCATTAGGACGTTGGACAATTTTAACACCATTTTATCCCTTCCAATTTATTGTCACACATTTTAACTATCTCTATATATTTAAGCCTCCTGGAGAAATTACTCACCATGTTATGCAGTTGATATTCATTAAAATTCACCTACATGTCTGTAGTGTTGTTCTTTCCTTATTGATCTGGGATCATATTTTTTTTCCTGAAGAAAAGTCTGAGTATTTATTTCCATCTGAGTGTCTTCATGACAGTTTTGCCTTATTGTTCATGAAAATATCTGTCTTCTACTTTTGAAAAAACATTTCTTTCTAGGCATGAGATTCTAGTTTGGTAATTATTTTTCTTCTTCATATTGGAGATATAATTTCACCCTCTTTATGTTGACCAGCCTAAGTTGTTGCTCTCTCTCTCTGCTTTGGGTATATGCTCTCTTTCCTTAAGTTTGAACAGGTCTTTCTATGATTGGCCCTCATTTGGTTGTCTTCATTCCCCTCTAGATTTGGCATGCATAGTACTTCATGAATCGGTAGCTTGATGTTTGTTTGTTTTTTGTCAGTTTTGGAAACTTTTTCACCATGATCTCTTCAAAAGGAAGGGCTTCAACAAGTTCCTAGAAAAAAATGGATAAGAAGATTATGGAGTTTTCCCATGAACTTTTAAATACCCCCCTCATGCTGTTCTGTATTATTTTTCTCTCTGAGGAAACATTTGTTATCATTAACAACCAAGTCTCTTGTACCTTCCATCCCCTCTCTTTAAGTATTCTCCATGATTTTGCCTCACTAGACATGATTCTAGATACTTTCTTCAAATTTATCTTTCATTTCCTTTGTTTTCCATTCAGCCAGGGAACCCACTTTGATCTGAAAATGTAACCCTGTGCATCCCAGGTACAGTGTATTGTTCACCTAGTACACCGGAGTGAAGTGAAGGTGACAAATGTGAAGCAGTTTGTCCCAGGTCCTCCAGTGTGAAAGGGCAGACCAAAGACCACCAAGCGAGAAGAGCTTCTCCACCCAAGTCCTTCCTGCTGTGCTTTCTCTCTCGTCTCTCATAGCTGGCATCTTCCATTTTGTGTAGCACTACTGTTAGCTATGTTTTCCAACTCTGAGAACCGGTTTCTTCATTAGAATTTAACTCTGTCATTCAGACCACCATTGATAAAATATTTGACCATGTTTGGGCTGGGGTTTTCTTTGTTCTAATCTATTTTTTACTTACTTCAGAGATGGATAACAGCCAAAGTTCATCTCAAAGAAAAGACAAGTGCCAGGATCTAGCCCCAAAGACAGGTAAACAAGTCTCTGAAGAACTCAGTTCTGGCGATCATCCTTCTGCACCCTGCCAGTATCCAGATGAAAACCCTCCAGTGGCTGAGACCTCCGCAGGCCCCAGCGGGAAAGAGTAAGTGACTAGTCAGGATGGTGGCAGGGAACAGCGCGTGGAATGTGTAGCCCTGTGTTTAACTCTGTCACTCGTTTCCTTCTCTCCAACCTGTCAGCGTGAGGAAACTAGGACTAAAATAATGATTGAGCAAACTCTCTTGGAGCCCTGGTAGCAGCAAATAAAGGTATGTTAGAAGAATTCCTTAGTATTCATAGACACCTTCCTTCTCTCCACTTCCCCACAGCACCCAGTCTACCCAGGAGCCTTACCAAAGGAGAAGCCCAGGGTATGACAAAGGTCAATCCCAACCTACTGTGAACACGTCAGAAGGAAAAATGGTGGGAGAGGAGCAAAAGGAAGATTCTCCACAGTGGTTCAAGGTTGCAGTGAGTATCCTGGAAAAATGTATGGAATGCACTGAGGAGAAAGGGCAGGTCCTCAAATGTACTTGGCCCACCACCCACTTTTCAGGAAAAAATTCATTGCTGAGCGCTTCCCTGGTCATTAAAACTTTTGTTTTCTAGCCCATAATCCAGGATAATTATAGGTATCTGCTTTTGTAGTGCCCCCTCCTCCGGCGTTCCTTTGGGAAACACTGGGTCAGATGAAGTTGCTCAAGCTCTGGGCAGAGGGAGAGGCACAAATCTTGGGAGTCAGAGGGACAATCAGGGTCTACTTTAGGTAGGTGCTCCGTGAACCTCATAAAAGAAAGATCATATTAAACTTCTTAAATTGATTATTTGGAAGACAGCTTCTGAATGGAGGCAAGGATGTTGAGGAAATCTATATTTGGCAGTGAAAAAAGTGTTTTCAACGCCCCCCTTCTTTAGAAGTCTTTTAAAGCTGAGTGGAAGGTCCGAATAGAGTATTTGGTGGGGTCTATTCTACAGTTTTAACTCTGTGTTGTCATTCTTCTCTCTTGTCTTTCTTTTCATATTTAGATTACTGATGGAAGAAAGTATAAGAAGCCTTGGCTACTGAGTTCTATCCAGAGCCATTGCAGTGTTCCCTTTACCCCAATTGACGTAAGAGAAGACCGTGTTGCCAGATGAATGGGTAGAGGGGAGGACGGGAGGGGAGGAGAAGGGAGGTCTGGATCAACAAGAGCCTTTAGCCTCCGACACGATTGCTCTGGCTTCTGCTCCCTGTAGTTCCACTACGTGGGATTGCGGGCCCAGTTCTTTATCAGTGATGCCAGTATTGCCTCTGCACTGAAGGATGTCAGCGACAAGATTCTTGATGACAATAGCCAAAAGGTGTGTGTCGACATGATTCATTATACCTTGTCTACCTTGTCTTCAGGAAGGAGGACAGACCAGGGCCAGAATCTTTTCTTTTGGATTAGATTTTCTGTAACTTGGCCCTGCCTTTCTTTCCTGCAGATAAGTATTGTTGTCAGTCCCACTATCGTACCCAATTGTGAGCGGAATAAGTTGAAGCCAGAAAAAATGGAGCAGCTAAAGGTAATGCAGATTAAAGACATATTCTTTATCCAAACCCACCTCGCGCGCGCTCTCTCTCTCTTCTCTCTCTCTCTCTCTCTCACACACACACACACACACACATACACATCTCCCCATCACCACCAATACGAAGACTGCCTAAGAATTGCTATCTCTATCTTTGCTTATAGGTGGCCATGAAGAAGCGATACCTTGCCTCTCACCAAGCTCTTGACCTCCAGAGCTTCCGCTTTGACCCAAGTATGGCTGACAGAAGTGGTTCTAGGGCAGGTGGAAGCAGAGGGATATGCCTGGGAGGGAGTAATAGGGATGGTAACTTTGGGAGGGGTTGATACTAGGTGCTAATCCAGCCAGCCCATGTTACTCTTCTGAATCTTTTCTCTTGCCTTCCTGAAGTCTTGGTGGATCATGGTATTGACATGATCCTGAATCGAAAAAGCTGCATGGATGCTGCTTTGACAATCATTGAAGAGGATTTCCCTGAGGTGAGGCCTTGGGCCCAGTGCTGGTATTTAGGTAGAGGTGTGGGAAGGATGAGATAGAGGGCAGATTTGTCTCTGAGACCCTTATCCGCCACTCTATCTCTTCTTCCCCAAAGCTATTGTCCTTGAATTTGCGTAACAACAAGTTGTACCGGTTGGATAGCCTGTCTAACATTGTAGAGATGGCCCCCAAACTCCAGATCCTGAACCTCTCCAAAAATGAGGTGAAAAGTCGAAGCCAAATCTAATTTGGGTTGAGGTTGGGTCACAGTGCTCCTCAGAGTGATGACATGAGGCTGGAAGGTGCCGGTGGGTGAGAGTGAGGAGGAAATCTCCAGAAGACTCAGATGTTTCTGTCCCTGACACCCTCTCTCCCTCCTTTCTTCCCCCATTTTTCTCAGCTGAAGTCAGCATGGGAGTTGGACAAGATAAAAGGACTGAATCTCAAAGAGTTGTGGCTAAAAGGAAATCCACTATGTCGAAACTACTCAAATAATTCTACCTATGTGAGGTCAGTGGTAACCACTACCCTCCCTGCTGAGGACTTCTGTCCCTGGGAGCCTGAGCTATCATCTGCAATAGTTTACATTCCCAGGCCTTTTAAGAGAAACACCTGCCCTGCCCTCTCCTCTCTCCAGCCCTCCCCTCTGTTTAGAGGTCTCCCTACCTTCCTCTGGCCTGCTCCTTGCTCCCCTCTGTTTCCCAGCCCTTTGCACCCAGTCTTCTCTGGCATGGCTGAATGCGCTCTAGGAAGCAGGGCTCCCCCTGCCTCCCTAGGACCACAGGTGTGCACATTGGGCCCTGCTTCCCCTCTGGGGCTGACTCAAGACAGATAATCCTGCCCTGGAATGTGAAGGCTCCCCCTGACCAGGAATTCCTGCTGAGACCTCTGAACCTAGAGGGGGCTTCCATTCCTATCCTGTGATGAGTGTTCACTTCCTTGCTCTGAAAGAGTTCTCTGATCTGCCCCGGTGTGGTCAGCCCTAAGGCATTTCTGCCCCACTTGAGGTCCAAGGCCTGGGTCTGGCTGTATCATGACAACTGGCTCAATGCCAGCAGCTGAGCCCTGCTGGGGGAGAAACCTGGGCTACCTGAGTCAATATTCAGAAACAGGTCACCCGCAGTCAGCAAAAGACATCTTTAGGCAAGTGTCACACATGGAAGATAGGGAGCAGCAGTGGGCCGAAGAGAAAGGACAGTCTTCTCAAGGGAACTGTCCTCTCCCTCCACCACATCACACCATCCTGCTTGATCCTTCTGATGAGCGCTGGGTAGCCCAATAGGATGTCTTGGCCTTGTCCAGAGCCAGATCTGGCAGGGCACTGTACTTCTGGTGAGATAGCAGAACCCTGGGCCCCACCCATTTCCTCCCTACCTCCAGAATCTTGTTTGAGGACTTCGGAGGAGGTAAGTGAGCTATGAAAGAGAAGGAATCTCTGGACCCTGATCTTCACATGCTGATTCTGTGTCACTGGAGAAGGGGATCAGGACTGTCCCTGTGGGAACTTCCCAGGAGGAAAGAGGGGGGAGAGGGAAATTTAGAGAAGGTTCACTAGCTCTCTGGGTGAATCCATTGAAGAACAAAGCTCAGGGGCCCTGAGAGGTGGTGGTATTGGAGGGTAGCTGAGAAAACCTGTCACTGTCCCTATGTAGGTATACTTGTTTCCATAAAGGGGGGCGAACTCTAAACTAATATTTCTTGATTTTGTCTGGTTAATTACCAGCACCCTCCTGGAACTGTTCCCCAAGCTGACACGCCTGGTAAGTGTCTGGTAAGCTCCCCCCACCCCCCACTCCCCAAGTCCTCTGCCTGGTACGCACTGCCACTCCGAGCCTGCCCTGAGATCCTTAGCTCTTGCCCAGGTTCGATGTTTCAATCGGACCCCGAATCCTCATGAGGACCAGGGGGACAACCACAGACTCTTGAAGGAACCTGATAAAGACTATGGAGCTTCTCTGAAGTGCTCCACTGGCTTCTGGGACCCCTGGTGAAGATCCCAAGATAGTCTTCCCATGGAACTTCCACGCCCCTTTCATCCTGACCCTCCCCTCACACACACACACCTATTTCCTGGGCACATCCTTTTCCCTAACTATACAATGCCACTCCCCACGTCTACCCTTCTAACTTCCTCCCTAGGATGGCCTGGAGTTGTTCTCCACTCTATCCTGTGGAAATGGAAAAAAGAAGTTACCAGTCTGCAAGGTGAGGAGGCAGGACCAAGCAGGGCTTGGAGTGGAGGGTGAGGAGGGGATGGCAGCTAGAGTCCTGAGGACCATTTTCATTCTAGGGGAGCGTGTATGGATCAGACACCCTGAAGAGTCTAATCTGGCAATTCCTGACGGAGTAAGTACCCCTGGAACTCTCATGCTAGGAGGACTGGAATAGGCCAGGCGCAGGCCTGTTCATGGTGGCGTGGGTGGCTTTCAAAGCTGCTTAGGAGCCTGAACCACAGAGAGCATATCTTCTTTGCTTCCCCACAGATATTACTACATCTATGACCATGGTGACCGGCACGTTCTTCTTAATACATACCATGACAATGCCTGCTTCTCACTGACTGTTCCTTTCAATTCTGATGACGGCGTTCTGTGAGTATCACAGACCCAATGGCATCCCTGGGCTCTGTGACTCCCCCCATACACCAGCCAGTCTCCCACCTCTTTGTTTCTCTTTTTCTCCTAGAGGCAGCTTGAACCTGTATTCCAAGAGTAGCAGGAATATGATAAAGATTAAGGACTCTGGTCAGTGTGTGAGGAGGAACATTGGGTGGGATGGAAGGTATACAGGGGTCAACTATAGAGACCAAGTGAGTGAAGCAGCCCTGACCTTCTCTTCCCCTCCCTGTACAGTTCCTCGGACTCAGCTGCTGAAATACACAAAAACGGAGATTGTTGACTTCCTCAGTGCATTGCCCAAGACCCAGCATGACCTCAGCTCCTTCGTGGTGGACACCTGTGTCCAGACAGTGAGTACCTGGTTCCTCCCTTATCCGGGGCCAGAGTAGGTAGGAGGTTTATGGGGGAGCTTAGGAGCCTGAGCTGTTTTTCTGTTCCAGGAAAACATGTTCTACTTTTCTGTCAATGGGCAGTTCAAGGAGGGTGAGTGTCTGTAGGGTCCATTCTCCGTGCCCCTCCATCCCCATTGCTCCCTCTCAGAGGTCTCCAGGCTTCCCTCCTCCCTTCCCATTCGCTCTGTGCTCTCCAGTTCCCACCCTGCCCCCATCTCACTCTTGTCTGACCTACAGCCATAACTGCCTGTCCCACCACAGCGCCACTGTTAGAGACACAGGCAGTGACTCACGTCTGTAGCTTAACCTCTCAGACTACTCGTTTGCAAAATGGGTCTAGTGATACTCATCTCTTGGGCTTCTGTGAAAAATGAAGTCAATGCACTTGAGAAGAGATTGGCACAGGGCTAGATACCGAGGAGGGGGTCCCCATCCCCAGGAGGTGAGGGCACATGTGGTGGCCTGCCTTGTTACCGACACCTTCCACCATGACTCCCTGTGCTGCCCCCTCTGTGGTGCCATGGGACAATAAGACCCTACCTGACGAAGGATGGAGGTGAGTGTGTAAAATATGGGCAACTCTGAGAGGTATTGTTCTGTGTTGTCCTTGAAGTGGAAACAAGTTATCTGCCTCATAACTGTGACTTCACCCGGATCTTCATTTTGAACCGTACAAGCAATTCCAGGTACGTCTTATGTTTGGGGTGGCCCAGGGAACACACACACCAAGCTGGGGCCAGGAGTCGGGGGGCTGACAGTGCATTCCTCAGGATTGCCCCAGGTTTGCAGAATTCCAAAAGGTAGACCCCAGGAGCACACCGGCCTAGTGGTTAAGAGTGTAGGCTGTGGCATAGTGACTTCTCCCCTTGACTCCAGCCTTCACTAGCTGTCTGACTTCGTTCAAGTTACATGATGTCTGTGTGACTCTGTGTCTGTCTCTGAATATCATGGTCAGAATAACCAATCCCTTGGGCTGTATAAAGATGCAGGCAGGTATTAAACTCTCTCTGGGGTGGGGGAAACCTATACACCCAGGGAAGGAGGCAGATAGCTCTCCCAAGGCAGGTTCTATGTGAGGGAAAAGGGTACCAACCAAAGAGTCAGGGGGGCACGCAGAGTCGTGCCTGGCAGGAAAGTGATTGTCATGTGTGGGCAGGACCATTGTTGGGGGTGTGGGTTGTCCGTCTGTCCTGATGTCTGAGGGCCTATTTTTTTTTCTCCAGTTTATGCATCGTGAATGACCAACTGTTTGTGAAGGACATCCGCTTCGACGAGCCCAAGACTGACTTGCTCATTGGTCACATCATACTCTAGTTCCACGCCTGCCAGTTCTCTGGAGCATCATCCAATCTGGTATGAGCCTCCAGTGACCTCAGAAGTGAGTGCCTGCATTGGGTGGGGATGGCGGGGAGCTGGGAGGAGCTGAGGAGTACATTAAAGGCCCTCGCAGGTCTATTCTTTGCTTGTTTATGTCATGCATGTCCCACTGACTGTCGTTCCTTCCCCCTCAGTGCATAGTATGATGGCAGCGAGTTGCTTTCAACAGGTGCACAGTACTTCCTGAACTCGCTGAGCCAGGCTCCTTTATCGACAGAAGCGGGGTTCCCCGAGATGCCCCCTTACGCACCAGGGCATCGTGTTCATTCTGCTGCTTTTGTCACACAAACGCGGAGGCGTGTTTTGGATGCACCGCAGGGTCTTCATGACAGCAGTGAGGACCACACCCCACCCTCACAGCTTTTTGCTCTGTTCACAGTGAAACCTGGGGATGCAGACCAACTGAGCAGAGGCCAGGTGGCCTGGGCATGACACTCGGGGCTACTGGCTCTGATGAAGCCCCGCCTCCTCCCTTCCCTCCCTCGGACCTGTGATTGAGGTCCCAAAGGACGTCTTCGTGAAATGACCCACAATCTGTGCGACAAGCTCTCCAAAGGAGCCAAGGCTCTCATCATCTTCATCATCGCTGCCTTCCTCCCTCCCCCCCCATCCCCCACCCCCGCAGACCATTGTTCTGTGCATGTGTTGCACCCAGTTTCTCTGTTTCTTTACAAAATAAATAAAGAGTTGCTGACGTTATATCACATTTGTGCAGCCTGCATTTGCGTGAAGTATTATCATCCCCTCTGCCCTGCGGAGGGAAAGGGAAGGGCCGAGAGGGCCAGGGACCTCCTAGGAAACTGCAGGGCAAAGACTCAACTCCGGGCTCCATCCCTAAAGCCCAAGCTGTGGGTTCAGGGCCCTGTGGGCCCGCTGCTCTCTACCCCTGGTAAACCTGGACGTTTCTCTCCTGTGCCCCTAGAGGATGTCATTATTTTAATGTGCTTTAGGTGAAAGTTTACACAGCAAATTAGGTTCTCCTTGATCGATTTTAATCCACGTTTCCTTACCATTATCTCCAGTTTCACAATGTGTCCGCATTCTCATTTCCCTTCTCCTTTTTCTGTTTGCAGTGAGCTAGCATCCCTTCCCCTCCTGCCTTCTCCCTTTGATTTTGGGTAAATGGTGACAGTTTGGACTCGTGCAGTGAGTTGTTCAGGGAGGACATTACTCACAGGTGATACTGTTTCTTTGGGAAGCAAATCTATCCTTCTGGAGCTATGACCTCCAGAAATAGCTTCATTGCCAAATCTCAAGGACGCCATTGGATTCCTCTACTCCCTATTGGCCCAGTAGGTCAGGCCTTCTTTTATAAGTTTTCTTCTACATTTTACTCCCATTGTATCCAGACCTTTTATGATGTCCCTTGTGCTTCGTGTGCTTCATATGAGTCCTGAGAACTAGCTTGTTTGAGCCTTGAGCTTCCTTCATTCTCTTTTATCCGCTACCAGGAGAGACCAGTGGTTGTGCCTTAGATGGCTGCTCAAAAGACCTCAGACGCTACTCACCAAACTAGGAGGTAGAACATTATTATTTTTTATGTTCTGTTGGCATTTCATCCACATATACAATCCAATGGTTTGATCATATCAAGAAGAATTGAACAATAACTTACCACAATGTTCGAACATTTTCTTCTTCCTTGTATGCTTTATAATTAGTGTTTTTTTAATTGTGGCAAAACTATACACAACAAAACATTATCCAATTCAACAACTTAGGATGTAGCACATGATCTTTGTGAACTATGTTATGCCAATGTACTAAGTTGTCCCCCAAGACTATGGTCCCCAACCTTTTAAACCTAGTAAGCCAACCCTGAGAGGTGCGTGAATACATCTAGGGATCAGGTACGTTTCTACAGGGAATAAATAGACTGCCACCTCAGCCAGGGGAAGCTGCTCCCATTTAACATCAAGTGTTAGATTGATTGTAATGTTAGCCAACATTAAGGCACACGTAAAAACCTGGGAAGAAGAAGTCATTCACAAACATGACTGACGTGTGATGAATACCTTTGATCAATAGAGAAATCAGTAGAGAGTAAGGAAAATGTTATCAGCCTGGAATTATTAAAAGCAGTAGTTATGTCCCACAAATCTATGAAAAGCTGCCCAACCATCATAATTGCAAAAACACAAGTACAAGCTTTCAGGTAAGATAGGAAAGGAGGAAAGAGAAGTAAAATATGCTACTTCAGAAAAATGTACTGTGGGTATACAAGATGTCTATTAAAGTTACTACTTTATAAAAGTTAACGATTCTGTCACATAGAGACATCTGGACTCGCCTGTGAGGCAGGCATGTTCTTTCTGTCAGGGTCCCCCTCCCGTGTGTAAAATGCCTGCAGGGGTTGGGGGAGATGGAGAGTTGCTGGTATGCGGGGGACCCTTCAGGATCAGTGGACTCAGGAAGGAAGGCGTCCTCTGTGAGCCCTCCCCTGAGGCTGAGGGAAGGGGGGCTGTGGTGGAAGGGCAGCTCTGGTGACCCTGAATGGGGAAGGAGGCGATGGGGTACAGGCCATCAAACTCATACTTCCTGGATAGCCCCAGCCTGCTGCGGTCAGCACCTGAAATGCAGGCGCACGCTTGGTTAGAACTGTGCTGGCGTCATTACAGGACCAGCGCTCCTCTGCTAAGATAACTGCATCCTGATTTTCCCTTCATCTTCTGCATCCTTCACCCTCACTTGGGGCTCACTGTAATACTTGGCAATTTATTCCTAGTCCTTGGATGGGCAATAGGAATAACAACAACAAAATGGAAAAGGCACCGACCATTATAGAGCCCACGCTGTCTCCCTCACTGCCATCGAGGGATGCCGACTCACAGTGACCCTACAGGGCCACTGCCTTGTGAGTTTCCCAGCCTATAACTGTGCACAGGAGTAGAAAGACAGGGCTTTCTTCGTAGGGGTGGCTGGTGCTTTCGAACTGCTAACTTTGAGGAAAGGCAGCTGAATGTGTAACCACTACACCACCAGGGCTCCATTATAGAGCACATAGTAGGGGGGGTGTGCTTGCTCAAGATCATGCAGCCAGCAGGTATTGTTGCCAAAGTCAGATCCTGGTTCTTCAGATCCCAAAGCTCCTAAATGCTGTTTCCACATTGAGTCTTCCTCTGTGTTTGGACTGATGCCGCCACAGTGGAGCGGATTCATCCAAGTTTCTGTTGATGTGTCTGGAACTGGGACAAAGGTTTGATGACTCATCTTCAGTCTAACTGAGCCCTTGTATAATTCTTCACTGATTGATATGATTTCTTCTTTCCGGGGCTAGGGGGAAACTTCTTCACCCATGTCACACTAGAAGAAACAAGGAGATGGACAAGCACACGGAATAAAAGGACATGATGAGATTGGACCAAAGTCCACTTCTTGTTGGTCTATTCCCTGATCTTCTCCGTCTGGAGTCTTCTGTTTTATGGGGCAGAGGAGGCAGGGGTGGGGCACATATAACATATAGCAGAATCTTACAATGTCCTTTTAGGTTTTCTCCTTTTGTATTACAACGGTTCCACGAAGAAGGGTTCATTAGTCCCATTTTACAGATGGCCAAGCTCAGATTCAGAGCCGGCATGCAAAGGTTCCCGGGTCAAATATCCGCCCCTTTCCCTTTGGACGGATCAACTAGCAATTTCCTCTGTACAGGATGGGCTTCCATGGCTTAAGGACTGAGAGTGGAAATTTCAACCGTCATGGGACCTGTCAGGCTAGGGGGTGCCACTCTTGGCCATCACTCCGCAACCCCTTTTGGTGATGAAGATGATGGTGAAGAAGAAAGCCTGGTCCGTGGGCCAAGGGCCTAGCTGTGAGGGCCACATGGATTGCCTCTTTCCTGAGGTGTTGAATGGGACCCAAGGAGCGATATTTTCTGTTGCTCTGTGGAAGGGGAACCTGCATGGGAGGATCAGAGCGTTTATGTACCAAATGATGTGCTCAGCTAGCCAGGCTATTGTGCTCATGTCCAAAGGATGGCATTCACAGAATGAACGAGAAAAAAGGTAGAAGGAAGAGCTAACCTACGTGCAAATCGTTTTGTCTTCTAATCCTCAGAGCAACGCATCCCTTCCAGATGAAGAAACCCATTGAGAGAACCAAGTCCTGCTCAAATCTGGGGACTTGTCAAAGGCCCACAGAGGGCAACTTGAACAAAACAGCATCAAAATACATAATGACAGTAGCAGATGATAAGCCTTATAGCAATATAGGAAGCTATGAGTTTCAGTGATATAAATAACTATATAATAAATTAATAGGTAGATAGACAGATGAGGGAGAACTATCTAGCCTATATTACAATGCTAATTAATAAATACCAAAGGAATTGGAGAATCAAAACCTAACAGCTATCATATAACTAGTAAGTGGTTTAGGAAAAAATCATAAATGTAGGTTGAGTGCACATCAAATCCCACAGTAGTCACTAACCCCCCATGGTACCCACCTGGTCACCTTTATCTAGAAAAATAAGCTTGACTGGGTTCCTAACGTGTGTGTAGAACTCAATAAGATGGATAGATCTCGAATATTCCTCAACATGAACCACCCCCAGCAGCCGCACACACACACAGGGGTCCTTGCAATGACTCAGTGTAAACAAAATGATTAAAACTCTCAGCTCCAGGAACTGAGAATGCTCAGCTATAAAATGTTACATTTCAAGGAAGTCAACCTTGAAGGAAAAACAGGACTTGCCAGTAGCTGACCTCTCCTTTCTCTTAAGATAACGTTTGCAGCCACCAAAGACTCCCTTGTTAGGTAACATTTATAGCTAAGGTTGAACAAGGTTCCTTTGTTACTTTTATAAGCTCAAAATACCCTGTCCTTGAAAATGGAATGTGTAGACAAGACTGTTAGCTTTTACCACGCATATAAACTCTATGTTTAGCCACACACGTTGACTTTTTGGGAAAATTTTGTTATTGTGAGTTAGATGAGAGTTTACATATTAAATCATCATTTTTTGTATTAAGAACTTATCAAGCCTTCCAGTGGCTTACTCTGTTTTCATCATTTTCCCCCGTCTTCCTCTTGTTGGATATTATCTTCCTCTCCCCCCAAGTTCACACCTGTCTGCCCTCTGGGTTTCCCTTTCCTTCCCCACCCCCTGAAGCCCATCAAAGTCTGCTTCCTTTTCTTTATTTTTAAAAATGGTAGTAGTCTCATACACAGGTTGTTGCTGTCAGGAAAGCGTTAGACAGCTGCAAAATCAGTGATTCAATCCCACAAGCCATTCTGCAGGCAAAGATGGGGCTGCCTGCTCCTGTAAAGATGTAAAGACTCAGAAATCCTGTGAGGTGTCTGACGACTCAGACGTGAATCTGGCAGTGGGATCAATTGCACTCAAGTTGTCCTCCAATTCCATCCTTGTCAAGAGGTGTTTCACAGATTCATCATTTTGCTTTAATGTCCCATGGAATCCCGTTGTTATGTATGAACCAAAGTTTAGCCACACTACCAATGATATGGGAATTTAGGCATTTTTTTAAACTCCCCATGTTTTTGTTATTGTGAATGTTACTGCAATGAACATGGGTGTGCAACAAAGCTAAACATTAAAAAGGGTGGAGTAGTCAGAAACCCTGGTGGTGTTGTGGAGT